CTTCTTTGAAAGTAAAATCTATTCAAATATAATATTTCATTATTTATCGGCATTCCTTGAATTTAATTTTCCTGAATTCCTAAATTTTCAATCGCCAACGGTGCGAAAACAATTTGCAGCTCGAAATTTTCACAGTGAAAAAAATTCCAAATTGCAGGTAGAACTGCAAATAGAGAAGATACACGGAAAACTCGACATTGTATGTTCGTTTACGGTGATCCCTCTCTGTCTCGTACAAATCCGGCGATATCGCAAAGTACTTGAATCGCAACGAGGGAATCGCTTCTCTCTTTGATCCATTCGCGCTGCATATTTCCAATTCGCGCTGACGCGCCAGACGAGGTGCTAAAAATACAAACGGGACGGCATTGTCTTCTCCCCGACGCGTCCTCGTTAGTTCGCTTTCGACGTACACGCGTTCGCGAGAGCTCGGTCGTCATCTCTCGTAACTTACCACTCACCTTGCCAACAATCCTCGCTTTCTTCTCCCACCCGTTTCGCACTCATCTCGAGGCGTCACAGCCCTCAAGTTCCCACGATCGTTTCGCGCGGCATATTGTATTACCGAAATGATGGAAACTTCTCCGCGGTCCCGCATTTACTCCGCGAAATCGTGTAGCAAATGTACCGATTATTCCGGACGATGTGCCTTCATCTTTTCGAACGAAAATGCTGTCGATTGCTTTATCGTGATTCGTGCATCGCCGTATGCATTACATTACGCATGATAGATCAGCGTATCGCATTGTATGTACATAGAATCGTGCATTGATGCTGGCATCGATTTTCGCCGGTGGCAAAGGGACGGTAGCTGACTTATAATTGGCCTATATCACTTATCGCTAACGGCGTCTCATATGGTCGACATATACCACTTGGCCGTGATATACCGTCCGGTGCATCCGTATCTCTCCCTCTCGCTGCGCCCTTCTGACTATGATCGACTCGTATCACTTACGGCGTCCACGATGTCTGACTATAATTGACCGACATCACTTGCGCCCGATATCAACGGATAGCTGGTTCGATAATCCGGTGGTCGATTTGCGCGATCGCTCGCGCAAGGCATTTAACGGGAAATTTTGTCGCGATAAATCCGTCGTCACGGGCATTCCGATTATTTTGCACTGATTATCGTCTACGATTTATTTTAGTATTTCACATCTGTTCTCGAGGGGAAAAAAGAGCGGAGGGGGGGCGTCATCGAGGAAATCCCCGGAGGCACCACGATGACCGCCACGGATCACTCCCGTTCTTTATCCCACGAGACTGTCTCGGCGTGTCCCTTATGAAAAATGAACGCTCGATCGCTGGACATACGAGGTGATTAATTTCACGCGGATGGAACGTGGGAATTGAATAAATCGCGAGTGATATAAATCGCACGGGTGATTTTTCAATTACGGAATTCTACTCGATAGGAGAAAAAATGGTAAAAGCACGAAAATTTTAAAGCGTCGGAAAAAAAGAAGAAAATTGTCCATTATATCTATATTTACAGGTTTTATTTTATCAGTCTCATTACGTTGACCATTAATCGTCGATTTTGATTATTTGATAATTAAATTCTCATAAAATAATTATTTGCAAGAACTCAATTGTCGCGTGTGACTCGAATAATATATAAAATTCTAATCTAATTAATCGCGTCGCATTACTCACTCTGTTCCGAGTCGATGTCCATCTTGTCCTGTGTCTCTTAAGAGTCTTAAGTAACACGTACTCGAGCACTCGGTACAAGTCGACAAGAGTTCACTGTCATCACAAACAAGTCTTAAGTCCTCGTCAGATTGTTGTGATAAACTTGCCAGCGGGAGATAATTGAGGTAAATCCGTCATGCAAATCCTTCATCGTGTCTTTCGATCAAAAGGAATTTCGACAAACGTTGTCGCACGGTCGACTAAGAAAGAATCGTCGGCTCGCACTCGTCAGGATTCGCGCACTGTCTCTCGCTGTATCAAACGCCGTCGTGCCAGGCGCTCTGTCGAGCCTCTGTGGACGATAACGAGTTCCTCTCCGTCCGCGGTCGTCGTCGAAAAATCGTCGCGAATTTTCCCTCGGAATTCACTCGCCGCGGCGAACACGGTTCCCGCACGAAATCCGGTGTGCGTGCTATCGAATCATCCCTCTCGCACTTGTGACGATTCTGTATCAGCACTGAGACGGGCGCTCGGAGCTGGTTGAATATTGAGCCGACGCACCGACAGCCGACGGTGGACGATAGAGCGCGATTCCGGCGCGCTCGGCGACGACGGGGAGACGTTCGGAATCGACGTTGGGATCCTCTCTCGCGCGGCGAGTCGCGCGGGATCCTCCCCTGCCAGGAATCGCGGCCTCGGGTTTCTATCGCGGAGGAACGAAAGGCGAGGAAAACGGGAGCGCGGTACGGGAGCGCGGGCCGTGCGCGACGAAAGCGAGCGAGGAGCGTATACGACGGTTTATATATACGGACGCACCCCCCGGTGGCGGCGGCAGGACGCAGGATCGCGCTCTCTTTCTCCTTCCATCTCTTTCTCTCTCTCTCTCTTTCTTTCTCATCCTCCCTTATCGCCGGTGGTGGATGTGACGCATGCGCGGGTATCGTTGTGCACCGTCAGAACGGAGGGCCGCATGCGGGAGAAACGCGTAGCCGCAGCCCCGTTCCGTCGACCCGGTCTCTCCCTCTCCGTCCTTTTCACCCTCTCTTCCGTCTACATTTCTCTCTCTCTCTCTCTCTCTGTCTTTCCACATGCACATCTCTATAAATGTTTCCTGCGCTCGTATTACGCACGCAGATGCACTTTTTGTTGTCGCTTCTGGATTACATTAATAATGACGAGAATCCGCATTGGCTTCGCCGCTTAACTTTGTTAAGGCTTTCTTTCCTAGGCCGCCGATACATGTTCCTCTCTTTCTTCCTCCCTCCCTCTCTCTCTCTCTCTCCTCTCTGCTCTCCTCTTGCTTCGCTCGCGAGTCCTCTCGTCGCGCGACTCGAGGAGGTCGAACGGCGTCGTCGGCCTCCTCTTCAAGTGCGCGATCGCTCGTCAGACATAAATGAAGTAGGTTAAAATTATTCCGCAAGAGTTATTCTGTTTTTTTCTCGAAATTTCGGTACATTAAAATTCGACGCGTTGAATCGAAAAGCAAATGCGTTATCTTTCAATGTACAATTGGAGATATAAAAGAATTAAATGTAATAAAATAATTATAACATTATTACAAAATTAAATATATGAAATTTAATTTAAAACTGCATTTGATTTTCATTAGAAGTCATTATTCGCAGCGTTTTGCTTTTTACCGCTTTGTAATTGAAATATTTACGAGGAAATCAGCGACAACTGGAATGGAAACTCGAAACGCGAAGAAATCGATGCTCCACAGACCCGACGGTCGTTTTTAGTGCATCTAAATCCGTCTGCATACGTCGACGTGCCTTATGTATCGTACTTAGAATCCTCCTAGGATCATGATAGGCGATCGGAGTATTTTTGGTCAAAATATTTTCGGCGTTCTCGCTCGTCTTGTCGGCGGCAGAAGGAGAGCGTGAAGTGGACGAAATCAGATGGGAATTCTCAGATGTCGATGGCACTCCACTCTATCGAGATACCTGAGATTTTATTCATAATCACGCATTCGAGTGCCAGCAACTTGTCGCATCGGAGCGCCCAATCGCTCTTAGTCGCCTGATAGTTTTCATAGGCGCTTGTATTCTAATTTCACCCTGCATAGTACTTTTTTGGACGCATCCGCCGAGCTTTGCGATACTCGATCGTACTCCTCTTGTTTCGTAACGCTACGTAGTGCGCTTTATTTAGTTTCCGCATCTTCTTAGTCGTTTGCTTCGCGTCTCTGCCGAATTCCCTTCTCTTTTGCGCAATTCGACGCGTAAGCGACAACTCCGATATCGTTCATCGATATTTCTCGCGCGCGGCGACGTCTGATCTCCACTCTCGCGTCTGGATGTTCGCTTCTCGCCAATCGATCCGACAAACGGACGAAAAAAATTCCAACTGTGATAATTCACGAAATAATGAAACTCTTTTGCCAAAAAAGTTTCCAGCCGCAATTATTTTATCCGTTCCGAGGATCGCGCACCGTAAAATTAATGTTTAACGCAGCGCGCTATTTTTCGGACAATAATTTAATTAATAAAATAATAAAATATTTTTGCTTTTATTTATTTTACAGAGTATTTCTCCCCTCTGTCTCTAAAGAGAATAAAATGCTCGTATCTCCCATGCGCTACCGAGTGGTCGTGTAGAATTTATCGTTTACGATCTTCGGCCGTCTCGTTGTTCTTACTGCCGCGCGACATAGCGCACGATTCTACTCGATCGTTCGACTGTACTCGCTTCTTTCCACTTCTTTACGCCTCGCGGGGGATTCGAAGAAGAACTGGCAATATGAAAGTTACATCTACAAGGCGTAAACGACCGCTCGCATAGATCGTCTGTCACATAACGCAGTCGTTCTCATGAGAAGTGAACGTGCAATATTTAATATTATCTCACGGTAAGATGTTCGTTCTTCATTAGTCTTTCATTAGTTCAATTTGCGAAAAACATTTTATTCTATCTTCCACGGATGTTCTATTGGAACAATTACGAATCACCACGGAATCGGATTATTAAGGAAATATTCTACTTTAGAGTGGCAAGAAAATGGCCTGTTTTTGGACATTTTGTTTTCAAGAAAATTAATGCACGTATTATTCCAAAATTTTGTATACATAGAGTCTTCATAAATTTCTGTATGGCAAAATATAAAATATTTCTTTCGCTTTACAATTTGTAATCTAGCATTTAAAAAAAGCTCATGTAATTGATTAACGTAATTGCAGCAATTCTACTCTGCTAAAATTAAAAATACTCTTGATTTCTGGAAAAATAAGACCTTTTGAGAATTTATTTTCGCGACATTATACATTTAAGAAATGCTTTAAGGAAAAGCACGATTTTCTCGAAATTTTGGAACAAAATGCTTAAATGCGCAAAGAGAGAAATATTTACTGACTCACCGATTGTCGTGATGGTGCAGGATTACGTGGGGCTTCGTTCGTCATCTTTCACACCTGAAGATGTATTTGATGACACGCATCAGACTGCGTATCTTCGCAATGACCTCCTCTTGCATGAGATTGAAGCACATGGCAATGAGAGCCATTCCTGAAAACACAAAGTGTATCAGTGAATGATTCTTGACATCGATGAAATACAGAGAATGAAATTAAATCGCGACTACAAGCTATCACGAACTATTATTGCACGAATTGTTGCGCGAATTGAGAGCGCCGCTCGTTTAGTGGAGCGTTCGAGAGCACCCGAATATCTCCGCGAAAAATCTGCCCGGCAATCAGGCATTGATCGAAACGAACTTAATGCGATCGTAGCGCACAACGGCGCGGGCACAATCGCATTGCAGGATTTTTTAAAAACGGTTGATCCCTTTTAAAACGGTTGTCTTCGCACCGCGCCGTTCCGCGCACGTCGAAAATTCAGCATAGCACAATCGGATTGCTACAAAAAAAAAAAAAAAATAACTATCTAGTTTTTTAACTCTCAGTTCGCGAGCGCCAGCTCAAATACGCGATTAAACGCGGATAACTTTTTTCCGTATATTTTTAATCTGTAACGTAACATCAAATGCAATATGCCTTTTCTTTATCAGGAAAGAAATGCCGAGAGAACTTCCTTCGAGAAAGCTCTAAAACTCGCGAGTCTAACTTTTAAATTTTCAAGTAACTAAAACTCGGCGGCGGTAATGAACATGTGGTCGTATCATGTAAAATTTACCGAGCATTAAGTACATAGAACAGAAGATGAAAGACAGATCGAGGCCTTGTCCGGAGTAGATCTTGTCGCCTGGGACAATGTCGCCGAAACCGATGGTCGACAAAGAGACGAAGCAGAAGTAGGAACCGTCCAGCATGTTCCAGTCCTCCCATTTCGAAAACAGAATCGCGCCGCCCCAGATATACCTGTCGGGGACAAAAAGCAAAGGCAAGTCCCTGTCAGTCCGGGGACAGTTTTGCGACCAGTGCTCTCGATTTCTCGACATTCAAGTTTAATTCGCGGAATGTTCGCGCGAAACTGATCATCCAACGATGTCGAATATTACCTCGGAGCGGTAGGAAGTTATACTTCGAGAGATTTTGCTCTAATAGAATCTTGATTTAACTTGGGAGGAATTTGGCAATCTAGTGGCAATCTCATTTGGTCAAATCCCGATCTCGCGGATTAGGCATTCATAACTTTTGAACTGAATTCTGCGATTTGTAATAAAATTTGTCGGAAAATTGTATTTTACATTTTAATTACAATATTATATTAAGCATCTCGTGATTTAATTTTAATAAAACTTTACACAGAAAGGAATTCAATAAATTTGAAGCAAATTTTCGCTCGCAAAGATTAAGAAGTTATAATTTAACAGCAAAATACTTATCAAACTCTATCCATACTATCGGTAATTTATATTTTCCTAACATCAGGATTATATTATATTTCAAGATTTTACTTTGCTGAATTGATAATTTAAATGAAAACAAACTTAGTAATTTAAAGCAAATTCCCGATTTTAATTAACTTGAGAAAATAAATTCTTTTCAATTCATTTGTCTTTCGAGTTCCTTAAGGATTTGTCTCTTAATTAGCAACTGGATTATCTTTCTCTCTCTCTCTCCCTCCCTCCCTCCCTCCCTCCCTCCCTCTCTCTCTCTTTCTCTTGCCAAACTCACCCCACCATAATGGCGAGACACAGAGTTAACGGCACCGTCACGTGCTGAGGATCGTAACTGCCACTCTCGTCATCATCCTCGTCGTTGCCGTCGCCCTCGTCGACGCCGTCGCCGTCGTCGTCGTCTCTCGGCGAAGTTTCTTCCTCATCTAAACTCGTTGTGTCTACTTCTCCGCCATACGTGTTCACTGTCTGCGGGCGAAAATTCTGCTCAAACAACGTTTACATAAGATATCGCAAAACTACGAGAATCGATTTTCCACGGAGAGTATTTGTCGTTCATCTCCAATATTAAACTCCAATATTCAAGTTAAAATTTCAACTTTTTTGAAGCAAAGTTCGCTCGAAATTAATAAAGACAGTTCGTTTTGTTCACAAATAATACGAACGAAGTAAGAGGCTAATTCGAGGCAGATGCTGTATGAGTCCATAAATCTTGTTTATTAACGTTTATTAAAGCTACTAGCATGTTAATAAACCAGATTTGCAAACGCATACAGCATTCGCGATCTAGCTCGAATTAGCCTTTAACATCATCCATTTGTAACAGATTAATTCGTTGTAACCTCGTTTGTTCTAAATGAAAAATTACTCGACATCAGGTGTTGCACCTAGGCGTTAATGACGCCTGACTAATGCCGCGGAACGAACAGTACTCATTTCTATCTCTATTTCGTATCTGATTAGCGGTGCCGGATTAGCAACGCTAATTCTGGCGGATTTTGTGCGAAAGCACTCGGCGCTCCGCTCATGGCGCAACATTCGTCAAAATGCGCGATCGGGAATGCCGCTAATTCCAATTCGTCACTCACCTGCCATCGATCTTTTTTCGCGTCCAGATCATTCGGCATCTCCGAAGCTTCCTCGGTCGGCGAACTGTGCGGTTTTCTGCGACACCTAGATTAAGATCGATGATTAATTCCGACAACAATACGCGTTTTGCGCTATTGAGAGGAACAAAGAGATACCAAGAGATTAATATAAAAATGATGACGTTTCGATGAGAAGAAGTGGGAACTCACTTGCACAGGCAGCAGCGGGCATACGTCCATTTAAAGCTCCTCGCCAGTATGTCGCCGATATTGCTGAGGTAGAGAAGGAAAAGCGGCATTCCTATTATCGCGTACACTATAGTCGCGACTTTGCCCCATTTCGTCCTGGGACAAATGTTGCCGTAACCTGCGCAGTAAACGAGAACGCGGCGAGTGAGTTTATCGACGAGCTTCGTGTTTCTTCCTCTCGTCTCGTTCCTGTTTCTTGCTTCATCCGTCGCGTACGTGAGCTGATTCATATTTAATTTATTGCCCGGAGTTCCGGCAGAAAAGAGCCCAATATTGCGCTGTATTAGAATTATTAAAGTTGCGAACGCGCGATTTAAATATTCATTCCGAAAGAATATCGGACGTCCAAATTCGAGATCGTGATGAAAAAGTCGCGCATGGTTACTCGAGAAGAAACTTATGTTGCAAATAAAATAATCATCAAAATGTAAGTCTAATAAAGAATAGATTCTGTTCAAAATAAATATTAGAAAAATAATCTTATTGCAACAAGTTATTTTAAGAATAATTATTTTTTAATATACTCGCGAGGATTTTGCACGAAAATTACGATATAAAAAAATATTTTCAAAAAACATTAAAAAATTTTTTCAAAGAATATTTATTCAATTTTACTTATAGTGTCACATTTTCAGATTAAATCCTCAAATAACTAACTCTCTATTATAATAAAGTCTCGTTATATGCGTCAGTTCCCTACATCAATTATATTCCTGATAACGTAACTGGACGTTGCTTCAACAGATACGTTGCAGCGCGGAAGTTGGAGCGCGAGTGTAAGTTTCAAGTTTATTTCACGGGAAACGTATGAACAATTCCAATATCCCCCAACTAACCTATTTGGACATTTATGTTTTATAAGAATACTAAAAGCAAAATGAGCGGAAGTCTGTAAAAAAGGAAGGCATGGAAAAATTTCACTGCGTGTGTTCCGTAAAATTCGTCGACTCAGTCGTTGAGAGGAAAAAATGTATACTCTTTCCGGTGTAGAAAATAATTTTCCGCAGCGTTGGAAGAAAATACGCGGAGTACGAATCAGTACAATTTTTTAAAGCGACTAGAACGCATTAACTTTTCCCGAATGAATATTATAGGTGAAATTTGTTAATAATCTTAACGCATCGTAAAAGATCTTTTAATTTTGTGTTATTTATACGTCACATAAAAATTATTTATTATCTTGAAATTGTATAAAGTTAATGATTTTCTATCTTCGTTCTTTCTATTTGTTTTAATCATTGTTTTTTTAAAACAAGACATAAACTTCTTCTTTAATATCTCTTGTCTTAATATTTCTGAATTCTTATATTAAAACATAAAATTGTTCAAACTATTTCTCATTTATTTATGAGTTTGTTGGCTAAAAATGTTTTTCTAAAAAAAAAGTCCCGTTTCGAAAAAAATTAACGAGAGCAAAAACACAGAGGCCGATCACGAATGGCCCACAGCAGCATTTCGTTCACACGGTCGATTAGTCCGTTAAAATATAAAATCATTACATCGTGATGTTATTATGCATATATTCAATTGATTTTCACAGCGATAATAAATTCCGTGTGTGAGGCGTGTTATACATTTTATCGCGAAATCGAGCGCGGCACCGGTTACATCGCTCCGCCGATGTAAAATGAATCTGACCTATATAGTTATTAAATATTAGTGAAACTCAAACTCGATGCAAAAAGTGTCGCATTAATATCTAATTTGTCGCATTAGCGCTCCGCGCAAAACTCCGTAATTAATTTTGAAACTGATGAAAACTAGCATCGTTCGTGATATTACATCAGTTTTATCACAAATTACATTGGTATTAACATCTCAATAAAAAAGAGCATTACACCGATTCAAGAGTCGTCGAACCTCGGTAATTTATTGGCAATTATTACAGTTTTTACCGAGTAACAATTGTCCATATTTCTTTCGCATTTTTAAACTCTAGCTACTGGCTGGTCATTTATTATTCTAAAAAAGGACCGAAAAAGAATAATAAAAAAAAAAAACCACCAACGCGCTCTAGAGTGCCAAAAAAAAATCGTTCAACAGATGCGCGTTATCGAGGGCGAATCAGAGCGTGCCTTGTAATCAAGCGAAAGTCGCCGCGAAAAAACGCCGCTCTCTCTTTTTTTTTTCCATACACAACATGCGCGAAACAAAGAAGTGCAAAACGTGACGTACGGGGTGTACATTCAGCATAGATTTCCCGGAAAAATCGCACGTCGAACGCTCGCATGGCGGCACGGCTGGCTTCGGAATACCCTAGGGCGCGTGGACTTCATTTTCGCGGCGCCCCTTCTCCGCCTCCCTAGTGGCGCGTGAAAATTGCGATGACGTTGTCCGCAATAGTCAAACGCAATTCTTACGAATCACGTTGCTGCTAAACAAATGGCCCGTGGCCATCGCTCCGCGATGCACATGCAATTTACATTTTGATAAAAATTAAAAGTTCCGAGAACTGAACCGGAGCAGACTCTAACCGCAATGAAAAGGATAACTTCACCGCGGCCAGATATAATCTACATAATAAATTTACATAACTTTGTAATTCACGCGTCTCCGCCATTAGCATTAGAATTACGTAATTACATCATTTTTACGTTAAATCGTAATTCGCTCATAATTTATTTATTTATTTTCTAAGCCCGATTTTGCAAAGATAATTTTTCGATCTCGTTTCCTAACATCGCGATCTTAAAAAAAAAAAAAAATTAAAAATTGAACAACTTTTTTTAAACGGCGCAGAAATCAGCATTTCTGTAAATTCCCGGACTTGTCAGTCGCGGCGAAAAGGTACGCAAAATTGAATTCGAAATTGATTAAAAGTTTGGCGTGCCGTCGCGACGCGATATCTTCGCGTCTCGGCTCGCTGTCCTCGAGCGAGGTGCCAAATTTCGTTAGCCCGGAGTGCACCCGAGTGTCTTTAATGCCGAAAACCGGGGCGGCGGTCGCACTACTCTCTCTCTCTT